CCTTCAGCCTCCACAATCCCTAAACTCACATTCAGGTCTGGCTCCATTCTGTTTTGCAATGGCCAGTTTTCACAGTCCAGTCAATTCCTGGTAGACTTCAGGTTTCCACATACTCTTAAGAGCATTTAAGCACTCTCTTTAAAAAAACTCCAAAACAATAACACCTAAAACTGGACAGGTAAGAAACCCTCCTGCTAAATGGAATCACGTCTCGTCATCATAATTTGTAATGCCGCTGTCTTTAGTTGATATATTAAATGCTTGTTTTCCACGACATATCTATATGTTATACCGCTGTTAGAGTGAAAGCCTCTCCAGATGCCTGACTGTGAGTTCCGCTCACCTCGGCTCCCTCCCCATGTGAAGAGGCTACCGAAGGGCATCTGTAGTAATAGGGTAATCTATTATAGGGCTCTCACTCACTCTCTGGTTTCCCATTCCCCGGCCCCTGTCTCAGCACTTCGTCAGGACGAATGAGAGGAGGAGTTTAACTAAGCACATTACTGTGTGCCACTTGCATATCCCAGCACTTCCTCAATTAAACCCCCTCCACCATAATCTCCGTTATCCCATTAACACACACAAGCATGCCTGAACATGCTTGACTTTACTGGTATGCCTCACCGATTGAAATTTTTTTTTTTTGTATACTTGGTAAATTTCACACTGTAAAAAAGCAATTAGCCCACATTGTACAGTCACAGGTACTAAAAAGTGTAAATTACCTTGAATCACACACATGTTAGAACTATAATATTCTCCCAGATTTTGCCCCAGCTAGCCTAAAAGAGCCATCTGAGCAAACAATTTCATATTAAATGGAAGTTAATTCCCAGCAAGCATTGCGGAAGAATACATGATTACTGTTAGCTACTGTTACTGTTATAGGCTGTGATTTTGTTTTACAGTTTTCAGATTTTTTTTATGGCAATGTTGTTGTTTTCTGTTGTTACTTTTATAATGACGTTGTGTTGTGATGTTCAAACTAGCTTTCCGTATTTTGTAACGCGACGCAATTTAGACACTAAATTATATATATATAT